AAAGTTCCAACAAAGATCATAGATATAATTACCAACCTGCTTCAACATCGACAAAACACAGTACTCACCCCCTTCGGTCCTACAGATCCCTACGAAGTGGAAGACAGCATTGATCAAGATGACACCATATCCCCACTTCTGTGGAAAATCTTTTATGATCCTCTCCTCACTACAATATCTGAAAAATGCAAAGGCTACACTATCACATCACAAAGCTGCTCAAACATCAGAACAGACTGGACCATCGACTACATGGACATTACTGCCAGTGCATACATGGATGATATAACATGGTTCGCAAACAACCAACAAGACCTTCAACAAATATTAGACACTGCACAAGAATTCTATACCATCAATGACATTCAGATCAACCCAACAAAATCCGCACTACTCATCATTAATAGTACACAATTAAACAGAACCCAAGGAGTCACATTCAACAATCAGACCATCCAAGGACTCACACCAAACATACCAACTAGAATTCTAGGAACATGGTACATGTCCAAAGGCAACAAATGACATCAAGTACAACTAATGAAAAAAAAAGCCAACAGAATAGCAAATCTCATGAAATTCAAAAAGATCACAGATAAACAAGCAAGATACATTATCAACTACGTCCTAATCCCAGCCCTATAATACCTCCTAACTGACATGGTACTCTCAGAAACAAAGTGCAATAAAATCTTTTTTTTTTAAAGAACTGGCTCATCCTTACTTTATTTAGTGAAAAGATTTGTTGTTTGTATAACAACATTTACAACATTGTATATCTTGATTACAAATAAAGTTATCTAATGAGGCTATTGCGACTTACCGATTGGCTTGTTGCCACCCACTTCGGGGCCTAACATGCCAAGGGAAGCTAGTTAGTGTTAAAATTGTAGGAAAAAATAGAAAAAGGGTTTGTGTTGCCATGGAAGAAGTGGTTTACGAGGTTGACATACTGTCTTTAATTGTCAGGTCTTCAAGTCTTTCCTCTGGTGATGTTTTGGGTTGCCCTTTGTTTTTGGAATGTTTTTTGGCCCGTGTTATGCCATTTGCTTTTTCCCAAAGATTGGTTTGTAGGCATCTTTCTATCCAGATTTTTTGGAGGTGGTTTCTGAAAGTATTGATGCATTTATTTGTAGTTTGCTGTGCTATCGCTTTGGATTCTGTGAACTCTGATATTAGGATGGTGAAGTCTTTCCTAATTATTCCTTTGATGAAATCCTGTAAGGGGATTCATACTGCATGATCTCTAGTTTGGATATTCTGTCCTCAAGGGGTATTGGTGAGTTTGTTGTTTTGTGGTTCTTTAGTAAATCGGTCAAAGTGTTTTTGATGGCTTTTCTATAGTTTGTGTATCCATGAAGCAGAGGAATGGGTGGATAGTCATTTCTGTCTTTGAGCATTTTATGCAACGGTTATCCTTGAGAGTGGGGAGTTCATTGTTCCAGAGGTTGATTGCGAATCTCCTGTTGTGTTGATCTTGGAATGTTCCTTGCCAATCTGTGACTGCGTTCTGGATTCGGTCGATCCAGTCTCTATTTCTTTTAAGTAGTCTCCACTGTGTCAAGTGTTTGATGTGAAATACCTGCTTACAGAAGATTTTGATTGGCATGTCTATGATATTGTCTCTTCACCTTCCCACCATGTTGATGTGCCTGGTGTTTGAAAGGATGTGTGTTAGTCTAGACCCAGGTTTCATGTTGAGGTAGTCGATTTTAGCTAGGAAGTCAGCTAGTTCATTTCCTGGAATGCCACTGTGTGCTTTGACCTTGTGTAGGAAGAATTGGATGTTTCGTTGATTGCATCTATCTATTATGAGTCATATGAGGCACCAATTCTTTGTTGTTCTAACTGTCTGCTGTAGAGGACTATTGGATACTTTGTGTATAGCGTGGATTGCAGCTTGGCTATCTGTATATATGTTGATAAGTGAGTTTGGTGGTATGGTTACTATTACTGTGAATATCGCCATTAATTCTGCTCTGATGGAGGAAGGGGGACCTTGTATTTGCCCTTTAAATTCTTGATGGTTGTTGGCTTCGTCTGAGAGTATCCATCCGTAACCCATGTATTGGTGGTTGTTAATGCAGGTCATTGAGCCATCGGTGAATGCAACAAAGTTGTGTTTGATGTTGTTGGAGGAAGAAATGGTGGCTAGTTCTTTGATGATTTCATCTTTTGTTGTGATGAGATTTTTTAAGTCTTGTATGATGTCTGATAGTGGATCAATGTAGATTTGCACTCTTGAAGCACAAGGGGTGGATTCGTTGATGAAGAAGTTTATTCTGCTTTGAGAGCTGTGCACTGAAAGTTGAATCCTATAGTGGGGGTTATTATTCAGGGTGTCACTGGAACGCTTGTATTTGTATACCACGGGAACTTGATAGGCTTGCTGTACTGTTCTTGAGAAAGAGCATGTATTTGTGGTGGGTGATCTTTCGTTAATGGAGCAACCGCCGCAAGGTGTTAATGGGGAGTTGCCTTGGATTCTCTTGTAATGTGTATATAAGATCTTTTTGTGGGTGTTCCTTTTCTTTTGTTTTTGTTTTCGTCCAATTGCTTCTGTTGAGTGGTGTGTAGTGATGATCCA